AGCGGGGGAACACAAATAGATGAGTGCCGCGGGGGGCCGGCGGGCGACGTGCGGCCCACGTCAACTTCAAACCCTTTATCATAGACGACGTGCACCCGCTGGGCCACAGGACAGATGCTGCCCCCCCCCCCAGCCCTCACCCTTTCATCTATTGTCTTGTTTAATCCAGCTGAAGAGAAGATGAGATTTGGGACTGATTGGTTCTGTCTGTTTTATTTTATCGACGCCACATCCTCCCCAAATCGGTCTGTCCCACACGTTCAGCTGTGCAGCTTACAGTCCAAATAAATCCGCTCTATAAAAATCTTTTCATCGCCAAACATCAGTCAACATCTGGCACTGTAGATTGATATCATAAGATCGACCGCGATCATTGGACATTTTTCATCGTCACGTTTAAGCTTTCATGGCGGCCCAGACGTGGAGAGGACGATGTTAAAAATATCTTCATTCTATTTGAACAACACTTTTTACATTAACATTTCATCGCTCACCAAAAGGCGTTTTTTGGTTTTATCACAACTTTTAAAACTTGCCGTTTGAAGAAAGTGCAGAAAAGGAGAAAAAAAGAAAACTCCAGCAAGAAAAGTGCACGCACACACAATGGACTAAAAAGAGATTTTTTAAAAAAGACGCGAGAGAGTTGAGACAGCGGTAAAGCAGGAGACGTGAAGCTGTGACAAGGAAGAAAGCACAAGGAAAGAAGAAAGCAGGAGGAGAGGTATCTTTTTACCAAGGATGGATCGAGATGTGATGGAACACCCTTCTGGCCAAACCTCCTCCTCCTCCTCAGTTGTTCTGCTCCTCCCTCTCCTCCTCCCCTCTGCCCTCCCTCTATCTGCTCTTCTCTAGTAGTCTGGCAGCGCTCTGTGGTTACGTCGCATCAGTGTAACAAGAGAGAGAGAGAGAGAAAGCAGACGCCAGGAACGAGGCTTAGCATTCACCCAGCCGCCGCCGCTGCAGCCGCCGCTGCTGCTGTGTTCATCCACTGGATTCCACTGACGCCGGACGATCAGGGACAAAAGGGACAGGAGGGACAAGAGAAGTGTGAGTGTGTCTGTGAGTGTGTGTGTGCGTGCAGAGAAAGTCACAAAGTTTAACCAATGAAAGAACGATGGAAAACCATGAGTCAGTGCCGGAGGCAGACGAAGAGATCGCTTCGCTTTAAAAGCACCGGGCTTTGGGAGCAGAGCGGCTTCAGCTGAATGTGACTCAGCTCAGACTCCTGTGTGAGAGTGTGAGTCGAGAGAGACTTCTGTGTGTGTGTGTGTGTGTGTTTGTGTGAGACAAGCACAAAAAAAAGACTGTTGAGGAAAGAAAAAAAAGAGAGCTGAACCACAGCTGGAGGCAGTGAGGACCGTGAGTCCAATCGACCCTGACACAATGTCTTCAGCCGCCGGGACTGTGTGCGTGTGTAAGTGATCTTGAAGTGCAGAGGTCAGACACATCACGCTGAGCGAGTCCTGGGGGTCGTCTCTAGGAGGTGAAGGAGAGGACGGAGGCGGTTGTGGTGGTGGTAGTGGGCTCGGGACAGTGGCAGGCCCAGGGGTGGGAGCATGGCCATGGGGGGGCCGCATCCCGTCCTCCAATCTGAACAGGGACAGGCGTTGGGGCTGGGGGTCCTGGGGCGGTGGTCCACCCAGAGGAGGACCCAGAATCTCAGAGCTTAAGCCGTGGCTGGGCGGAGGGTTGGCTGGGGCACCAGTAGGTGGAGCTGGTGCCAGCAGTGGAGGAGGCAGCGGGGGCCCAGAGAAGGGAGGCAGAGTGAGATGTTCCCGCAGAATGTGGGTTCTCCTGGGCTCGGTGGGCCTGGTGTTTTTAACCTCCCTCCTCTACTCCGTCTCACTCCGCGGCGGTGTCAGCTTCAACTACCTGGAGCCTCCGGGGTGGGAGGAGTCGAGGCGAGTGAAGCTGGTGCCAAACTACGCCGGCGCCCACCACCTGTCGCCACCTGACGCTCCACAGCAGAAGACCTGTGCCTGTGCCCGCTGTGTGGGAGACCCCGGGGTCTCTGAGTGGTTCGACGAGAACTACGACCCCGACATCTCACCCGTGTGGACCAGAGACAACATCCAGCTGCCCCCTGACGTCTACTACTGGTGGGTGGTAAGTACCGACACTTTCATTCTTACTGTGTCTGATTCTGTAGGTACTGTTCCATCAAAGACGTTCTAACTACGTCGTTGTACTGGAGGAAGTCAACAAGTTCAGGGTCAGATGTTTATCGTTCCTGCTGGTGTCTGGTGTATTTAAGAACTTGTAGCCAGGATGATTGGACAGAACAGGGTGAACAGATATTGGATTAAGAAAGAAAATAGACTCAAAGAAAAAGAGAGGGTAGAGGTGGAAGACATATCGACTTTAAAGATTCAGTGCCAAAGACAACTCAGATGAACAAATTCTAAACCAGAGGCTTAGAATTTCAATGCGTGAACAGGACTAGAACCTTTCACTGTACGTTCTAAAGTCCTTGAGAACACGACAACACTGAGCCTCACCCCTGCTTTTACATTTGCCCGTTGTCTGAAGAAAGTGCGAGCCCAGGGTTTATTATCATCATCATATAATTTAACAGTGTTCAACAACGATCTAATAACCTTCTTATCTGAGTCAATAGAGAGGTCACCGAAGGTTATTTTACTTTCAAACACGTTAACACAAACAATATCAATGCAAAGATGACTAGACACAAGAACAACAAAGTCCTTGTCCTCGACCTGACCTGAGGCCAAATAATTATTGACGACTGATTATTTACTGGATATAAAATGCGTCAATCCATCAAAGATATTTAGAATATAGCTTGAGTTATAGCTTTAGTTTTTTTTTTTCGAGTTCAATGAAAACTGGCTTTCAATAAGAAAGGCTTTCAATAAGAAAAAGAAAAAAGAAGTAGAAACTTTACTGATGTTTACACAGGATCAAATACTTTCTGTGACCCTCTAAAAATGACTTAAGGGAAATTATTATTTTTTTCTCCGGTTCTCAAGGTTATTTTGTGAGAGCAGCTTTTAGAGGTCTGTCTCTCAGCATAAATGTCTTTTCAATGTTCTACTTTATAAAATCTGCACGCCTAAAAAGCAGCTGGAGTGTTTTGTAGAATTAAATAATATATTTATTATACAAGTCCAAGTGCTGTTTTTGTCTGAACAAAAAAAGTAATACGGAGAAGTTTGACCTGCACCAATGAGAACTGACGCAGACCTTCTGATTCAATGTTTGCCTATGAGGCCATGTAAAATGGGAGAGGGGGGAGGCAGGGGGGGGGATCAGTGGGTGAGGGTGTGAGGTTTGGCTCTTAACCTCAAGAGCTTGTTTCCTGATTCACAGTGAGAGGTGGCAAGTTAAGTGCTCTCCAGTCACATATTTGCATTTTTTCTGGTGAGAAAGAGAGACTTCAGTCTAATGTGGTTTGGAAGAAGAGAGAGAGAGAGAGAGAGAGACGGAGAGTCAACAAAAAAGGCGAAGTAACACGCCCGCTTGCTCCACCCTACATTCACTTAATTTGCTTCCCTGCGCTGTTTCTAATCAGTGTTTTTCTTTTGGAAGAAAAAGAAACCTTAACAATAATTTGCACTTTGTTTATATTTGAAATCATGGCCTTCAATCAAAGCTGAGCTGTTTTTTCTGTTATGGTTTCTGTCTGAGGAGTGAAGGTAGTAAAGTAAGACACTGAGTGGAAGCAGTGAATTGAAATATGATTTCTTGTTCATGGGAAAAATTATAGTTTTTTTTTGCAACCTCAAAATTCTCAACATTCACTCTGCAAACAATTGTGTAGGAAAATGTGTCTAAACCGAAGGAAAGTTATTTGTTTACTGGGTAAACAAAGTGTCGGCGAGCTCTTGGTCACGTGGTTATAAATTGTAATCGTTTACTTCTTAGGAAATGTTTGTTCTTCTTGACTGGGTTGGAATCCAGGTAATAGATTTTGGTGACTGTAAAGAGGGGACTTCCTAATCTAGAGGAAAGTTAATGATTTTGTCCTTTGTCTGAACTGAACACTGAGCCCACCTAACAGGAGGGCAGTCGTCTCTAACAACTGTATTAGACAAAAAGTTAATATCAGACATCCATAGTTAAATTATTTCTACTTAATGATTCACGTAAATCTTCAAGTAAATAGAAAATACATTTTCCAATACTGCTTTGATGTATGTACAATAGCACATTAGCCAACATAAAATCTACGTCGAATTTGACTTGTTTGCTAACAGCAAAATAAACAGCAACAGAGTAGGACAAATGCTCTTTGTTGTTCGTGGCGATTCTGGCGTCATGTACGTCAAAATAATCAGAAATGATACATTTCTCAAGTAAATAGTCAAGTAATTGATGAATTATTGTTTCACCTCTAGACTAATCTACTTTTGTGGCAAAGCACCATGTTTTGATGTCAGTAGAGCTGTAAACAAACTAGCGTATTCTCTCACTTCTGTGACTCGTTAGCCTCGAGAAGAGGAAAATGGAAATCTGACATCACAGTCACCCTGTGATCTCAGGCTAGCACAGAACTTTGGAAGCACGGTTTAAAGGCTCAAATTGATCGCCTTCCTCCCTTGTCTGCCCCCTCCTCGTCCTCTCCCCTCCTCCTCCCCCACACACACCATGTTTGCACAGATATTACAACTTTAGATGAAAAGTGACGGCCCAGCTCGCACTTCAAAGCTGAGAAATGAATCCAGTGTGCAGTGAGTCTCAGCAGTGACATGGTGCCAACATCTAAGTCGAACAGTTCCAACAGGTCCAACAGGAACAGTCACTTATTCAAACAGCCGTGTGCACTTACACCAACTTTGGTATTGGGAGCTAATTTGCTAATCCCTGCTCAGGTTGAATTATACGTGAGATTAGGCCTGGGATCCAGGTGGTAGACTCCCCACAACCGACCTGGTGTGGAAAATGTTCAGTAAAATTTAATATCATGTCTTGCGTGTTAAATACTTCAGGAGGCAGAAGACGCCCCAGAGGCAGGGAGGAAGCAGTGCAGCGTCAACGCAGCTGCCGAAAAACATCATTAGTGGCCTCTGAACAACCGTGTGCCAAAATGACTGTGGCGTCTGCAGGGAGACAAGAGGGAGAGCAGGGGATGGAGGGATGACAGAGTCAAACAATGGAGACGCAGCAGAAGGAGAAATGCAAAGAGGCTAAAGCACAGGAGGAAAGTTAGAGTCGGCGATGGGAACCGAGAGAGGGATTTAGCAAACTCAAATAAGTACTAAGGAGCTGCGAGGGGCTGCGGGGGTCCCTGAGGGGTGAAGACATGGAGAAAGACAAGAAGGGGAGCATGAGAAATTAAAGAGGGGGTATTAGGCACCACTGAAGGGGAGCTCCAGGAGGGGGCGGTGCAGTGAAAAATGCAAACCAGCAAAGTCAGGGCTGAGAAACGAAGACTGCCTGGTGGGAGAGAGACGTAACAGCAGAGCAGCCTCCATGACTGACTGTCAGTACTTGTGGAATCTGTGCGTGAACGTGTGCACGTGTCTCGTACGTGTGGACCAGAGAAAAGGCTCTGGTCCAAAACCATCGTTAAACAGACATTTCAGCAGCTCAGCGTATGTCAGACATAGACCGGGACGTAGTGAAACGATACAATTCAATCCATACAAAAAATAATAATCGCAATTTGATTTTACCACAATTTTTTTTAAATGAAATGAGCTCCAGACAAATTCTGACCAGTACCTTGTTTGAACTGTAGGGGCAGACTCAGCAAAATTAAATTTAGAAAAAAAAAATTCTCTCAAACCTCTGCTGGCAAGGCAGACATGCTTAAAAAATACTCTAACAATAACCAATCAAATTAATTAAATTTACAGAAGTACAGTATGTCAATGGATCTTGTTAACGATTGGCTGCAAAAACTACAATGGTTATAATTACCTCTCCTAATATGACTGTTAAATTAAAAAAGGACTATTTTGAGGGTTTTTTTTATCTCAGCTGTTGGGGCGGGGGTGGCAGAGGTTTAAACATTTTTAACTGACTATTATAAAAGAACAGCATCGTCAGAAGTTGTTGAAAACAGTTGTGTGTGTGCGTTTCCACTGTGGGAGGGGCTTTTTTCATGAATACGCAGCTGCTTCTGCCTCTCATCACATGAATATAACATATCTGCTTGTTTTGGCAGCGACTGAATTTAGAAAAGGCTTGGTTTTAATTCAACAGCTTTGTTTTGGAAGCTGCTGCTGCTGCTTCTTTTTTCGTCTCCTCCTCCACCAGTTCAGGTTCAACATCAAAAAAAAAAAAAGAAGAAAAAAATCATCACGCACTGCACTAGTTTCGTGCCTCCAGGAAAAAGTCAGGTTGCATGAAGTTTGACCACTTTCTTCCCGGCTGCTGTCAATGAAAATGTTCCCGTTATTTATGGAATTGTCGACTGGAACTGGGGAGAACCGGGGGTGGGGGGGGTTGGATTTTGTTCTCTGACCTCAATGTCAAGACATGAATTTTTCGGGTGATATCTGGGGCAAATTGGATGAAATCCCCCCCTGAGGCATTTTTTGCGGTGTCACATCCAGCTGCCTGGTGGAGACCGACCAACCACCGGCTCCAGAAACACACAGCCTGTGGCCACAGCTGTCGCCCGGGGCAGAGACACCGCGCTGCACATTAAAATGAACAGACAAAGCAGAAACACAGAGGTGCAGTATATTTTTACTCCTGACTGTGAAGTGAACTTGTGGAGTCGCAGCAGCTGCTGCCTCTGAGAAGACGACAACCGTCAATCCAGAGAAACGACAGCTTTACAGGTTCTCCGTCAGCTGCTCTCACCGAGTCTGACGCTCAGGGACGTGACACTTGAAATATTCTCCTCAGGAAATGACGAATATTATGATTCAAATATTCATGGGGCTGGTTCATTTCATTTTTCTCTTATCCATTATTTATTTTTTCGTACAATTCAATAATTATATTAATTTAACTCCGTAAAACATCAGCTCTCAAATAACTAAAAGATTGCTTAAATGTTCTTAAAAACATTTGTTGACAGTCATGAAGTCGCAAAGTTTGCAATTCCAATTTTTTCCCATTTGCGTACAGGGTAAAAAAATAATGCCTGTAGGAATTTAAATTCCCACCGTCATTTGTTTCTTCACATTCTTGTCAGTCTACTTTACATTAACATTTTTTTTCCTCTTCACTCCTCCAGATTCCAGATCATTCTTGTCAGTCTACTTTACATTAACTTTTTTTTTTCTCTTCACTCCTCCTTCCCTGTTTCCCATGTTTCCTTCCCTGCTGTCATATTTGTTTTCCCTCTGAGCGAAACACAAACTTCTTTTCTGAGCTGATGTTGACGGACAGTTTAGAGAAAAAAAACTCTGGGTTTGACGGAGACATTATTTCAAGGATGGCACATCAGGATCAGACGCTGTTCACCTTGTTAGCTGTCATCTACTGTTGACCCGTCAGCCAGATTGAAGGCCCTGGGGAGTGCGTGGAACCTCATGTTGGTTTTTTCAGGAATAATATGAAAATACAGTTCTTCTTGTTTGAGTTGCTCTGCCTTCAGGGGGAGTCACATCCAATCATCTGCCCCGGTTTTCCCCCCGGTGCTTCGCCTCCTGCTCTGTCCCTCTGATATGTTCACTTCCCGTCCATCCTTGTCAGTTCCTGTTCAAATCTCGGGACCTTTGGCGCCACTGTGGCCAAACCTCCGGTTGTAGCAACGAAAAGGCTCGTCTGTACGAGAGCGCACATTGCAAGCGAGTGCAAGTTACATTTATAGTTGCTGGGTGAGATTATCTGGACAGAAACTCAAAAACAGGGGTAAATTCATGCAGTTGTCAAGGTCAAGAAACAGAGAACAGATAATGAGCAACATCTCCCAACACAGACAAGCACTCAAAGGTCAGGCTGGTCGTGTCAGTGTTTTTCCACTGACTGTGCGAGTTTGAGTACAAGTCAAATGGTGGATGACAGGCACAGAATATAATGATGTCATAACAGAGGTCGCTCATGTTTGATGCCACTTTATTACCATGAAATACTGTAGTAGAAACTAGGGATATCGGTCGAAGAAGAATCTATAACTCTGGAATTAAAGTACCCCTCCCCCCTCTGTAGTTCCAGGGCAGATAACAAATAAAAAGAAACGTCTGTTGTGCCTCCGTCACATGAAGCGTAACAACCACCGGTGTCAGTATTTGCTGTCGACAAATACTTAAATCAGCAGCAGGAACCCTCAGCCCTGGGACAAAAAACCTGTTTGGACCTTACTTGAGTTGATGTGTAAACAACCATGCACATTTCAACAAAGATAAACTCCCGAGCAGGAATTCTTCTTTTCTGTCTATTTTCTTCTTGTACTTCACACTGCCTTCATTGTTTTTTTGTTGTTTTTTTTTAAATCAGGCTTTTGTTTGAGGCTCCTCTGACCACAGCTAAAAACAGACTGACTGCGTCCCACCAGTCTGACACATGACTGTAAACACACACACACACACACCTGCCCATTTGCACATGAATATACAGGCAAATGCATGCACACACACACACACAGGTCTACGGGCTCACGGAATAATAACAAAATTTAAAGTCTGTTGTCAGGTCCAATTTGTCTGCAGAGAAGAAACATCTTGTTCTAACCACACTTTATTTCTTCCCCCTCTCCCTCTCCTCCCTCCCTCCCTCTCTCTACCTCCCTCTAGATGCTCCAGCCCCAGTTTAAACCCCACAGCATCCAGCAGGTGCTGCTGAGACTCTTCCAGGTACTTTATATTATTAATTCATCTTTCCATCGCTGCCCTGCGTCGGAAGCATCCCACTCATTACCCTACACTCCTGGGCAGAGGCGGGGGAGGGGGGTTGAGGTGAAGGGGGGGACACCAGCTTCTCCCAGCACCGCCTCATTTGCCTTTTAATGTATCTGTATATGAAATATGTTTTTGTTTTTTTATTTGCGCTCTACGCTTCCTCCCTCCCTCCCCACTCTGCTCTCACCTCCCACCCCCTCCCAGAGGAGCCAAAGGTGCTCATGACTTTTTCATGGGATGTCTCATGAAGCATGAATACATCCCAGTGCTGAGAGCAGGACGTGTGTTTCCTACCTGCTCCCAGCTGCAGACACAGATATTATTTGTTCACTGCTGTGTCTTTTTAAATTTCCCAAATCCAGTCGGTTCACATGCGGTACCACACGTTACTTGGAACCAGCTGCTGACTTGTGCTGATATTGTCCAAACACCCCCAAAACTGCGACAAAAATCTCAGGACCTCACCAGTGATTAGAGCATATTTGGCAAAAAACCCAGGCATTGCGTTATCAGGTTTTCATTATCGAAAAAATCGATAACGATTCTCACAGATATTACATAATTATGCAAATTTTGGGGCAATCAGGCAGTGGATATTATTAAAAAATCGGTTTACTTCCAGCTCCATGCCGATGTGTCCCTGAGCAAGAATAAACCCAAAGATGCTCGTCAAAGCCTGATCCCTGTCCTCTGAAAGCTCCTGAACTCAGAACACTTATTTTTTCTGGTTAAACAAAAACACCTGGACCATAGTCAGCCAAGACTGGACCAGATCCCAGTCTGAATCAACACACAGGACCCATGACCTGTCCATTTGTCCAACCAAACATTTATAAACATACTTGAAATCCTTTCACTGTTGCCTGACTCCCTACCCGATGCAATTCTACCCCTTTAATGATTTTTTTTTTTTTCATGGATATACATTTCAGGTGATTCCAGGAAGGTCGCCGTATGGATCGTGGGATCCAGGACGCTGCCTGCGCTGCGCAGTGGTGGGAAACTCTGGAAACCTCCGGGGAGCGGGATACGGCGAAACTATCGACGGACACAACTACATCATGAGGTAAGAGCTGACGGGGGTCGGAGGGGGGGCAGACGGGGCAGGAAGGTGGAGTGGATGAAAGCTGCATTAGAAGGATCAAAGGATGGAGGAGACACTCAATGCCAAGATGAAGGCTGAGGCGAGGAGACAAAGGGAGGAGGACATGAGGAGATGAAGGAGCTAAGGAGGACGGGGTGAAGAGTTCACGCCAGGACTTTATCACCCGTCGCCTGCGTCGTTAAAGTTATCGCCGAGTTTGCGAGTGAGGGGGAGATGAAGGTTTAAGATAGACGACGAAGGACTTTATTTATTAATCCAGGAGGGAAATTGCGGAAGAAAGAAGCAGAAGCTGAGACGTTCGTCTGATGCTATATTTATATCTAAAGGTCATCCGGATTGGGAATGAAGCTTATGGATTTTGTAAATCCATGTGTGGCAGTGACGATCACAGAGGGTTTATCATCCACGTCTGTACGTGAAAGTATACATTTGTACATCCAGCAGTCATTAAACCAGAGGATTATTAAACCTTCATGACATTGACATCATAAATACATGAAATAAAAGTTAATAGAATGATGACAAAAAATCTTTATTTTATTTTACATTAAAACATATGCCTTTGTCTTTATTTTATTTTACATTAAAACATATACCTTTGTATAAATATATAGTGCAAATCTCTTGGTTTATATACATTATATCATTATGGAAAAAAATCTGTTAACGATTCTTATCGATATTTCAGTCGGTTGATATTGTCAGACATCCCGGACAGTTTCTTCCTGCGTCCTCAAAACAAAAGTACGTGCTCCACAACTGTAATACTCCACCTACTGCTCTGCTCCTGATGTACAGCCAAAGATTCAACCATTTCAAGGGCTGAGAAACAGTTCTAGTACTTTCCTTCAGTTCCTGTCCTGTTTTCCTGAATACAGATTCCCTGATACGGGATACTGCACTGGAAAAAATAAAAACATGAAGATGATCCTGACATATTCCGATCACACAGGATACTCTGAGTGATTTTGAGAGCCTTTCATAAAAGTATGCAGTGAGTGAAAATGTTCCCTGGGTCTGAAAGTGAAATGGAAAACTCAGGGATTCCTGGGAGGCAGGTAGAGAGATTTCTGTCAGATTATTTTCCAATTTATCTTGAATCCACTTGGGACCAGGTCTACCTGCGACAGTCTGTCGATACAGAGGGGTTTATGAAAAATAGAAGATCGTTCTTCTATCGAGGCCAGAGCTGTTGCTGTGGTCACGGCCGCGATAGATAAGATACGGTGGGGAGAGATTTGCTCCATGGCAGGGCATAAAAATGGACAGCTGGTTGGGCCTGAAGACGGAGAAAGAATGATGTGTCATGTTGATGATCTCTCTCTCTCTCTCTCTCTCTCTCTCCCACTCTCTCTCTCTCAGGATTAATTTGGCCCCGACAGTGGGGTATGAAGAAGACGCTGGCAGCCTCACCACTCATCACTTCATGTACCCAGAAAGTGCCAAAAACCTGGCTGCTAACGTCAGCTTTGTCCTGGTTCCCTTCAAAACACTGGACCTGGTCTGGATCACCAGCGCTCTGTCCACCGGCCAGATTCGATTGTAAGAAGACAGAAAAGACGGTGAAGGATCTTAAGGGGCATGAAAACACGAAACCGTGGATTTGACTCGATTAAACAGAGAGAATATTTCGTTAAAATTGAAAGATTGTAGAAAAACTTAACCTAATAGCCAACTGTTCACCATTAAGATGTCGGAAAAGCCAAAGTAACTCAAAAAACCCACAGTTTAAATATAAAACCGTTTTAAAAAGTTCATTTCTTGCTCTGCACTTCAACATCACACACAGGGATGTCGTGAGCAGCCAGAGAATCACTGGGACGGAACAATCTATCAGCTGTCAATCATCTGCAATTCACTGCTGCACCAATCATTCTGTGCTGATGGAAAATGTTTCATAATCTGCGTCTCACACACACTCTTTTCTCTCCGTCAGTACCTACGCCCCAGTCAAGCAGTTCCTGCGAGTGGATAAGGACAAGGTCTGTGTTTTCAAGAAATACTGCGCACACACACACACACACACACTTTGGGGATCTGAGAGCACTTCACATCGATATAATACAGTCTCAAGATCTTACATAACTATAAGAAATATACGTCTTATTCTAATCCATACTCTGTAGCTCTAACGCTGACTCCAAACTAAACCTTACTCAGCAAAATGTCCCCACGTGTACAGCCCCACCAGACACACACACACACACACACATCCCCTCTTTTGATACACCCCCCCCACCACCACCACTGTATTGTTGATGGATTACAGTTAGATTATAATCCAGCCCTTTGTCTTAAATCATCTTCTGCAGAGTCTGTAATCCATGAGAATAAACCAAGACGCGCTAATCCTGCGAGATTAAAACATTGATTTGAAGCCATTTGTAACTTTTTTTTGGGGGGGGGCACTGTGGAAGAGTGGTGAGTGATCGTGTCTAAACACTAAGAAACTCCCCCATGTGACGTCAGACGGATGGTGTTTCTGTATTAAAGATCGTCAACGAACATTCCCACTGAGATCGACAGGAAAGTTAAAGTTCCGTTCTTCCAACCAGGTGCAGATCTTCAACCCCGCCTTCTTTAAATACATCCACGACCGATGGACGCGTCACCACGGACGTTACCCTTCCACTGGGATGCTGGTGCTGTTCTTCGCCCTCCACGTCTGTGATGAGGTCAGTGATGTCATCACCATCACCATCTGCTCCCTGTTTTTTCATGCTGATCATAAACTACATTATCGT